TTTTTTTTTTTTTTTGCACAGCGTAGACTAAATATATAATAGGAGTTGGGATGAATTGAACCCAAACGTGAAATTCCAGAAGAAACGCCACAGCCGCCGCAACCCAAACATTTGTTTTCGAATCCACAGACCAACTACTTCAAATCGTACGGTGTGCATTTATTCGCCCATAGCTTCAGTCCATTGAGAGCGAGTAGATCCCGTGTCATTTAGAAGTAGCAGGGATCCATCTATAAAAGCCAAATCCATAGCCAAAGTCCACATGCGCCTTCGGTGGTAGGGCGTGGTGCAATGCCATGAGTTCTGATCGTCGATTTACACAGCTTTGTTGTTGTTGTTTCTCACATTAGTTCTAAAAAAAAAAGATTGGCTGTAGTCGACCGGATATTTTTTTTCGCGCAAGCCGCGGTCACACTGAAGGTTGGTTCTGTTCTCGGCATCCCTTCTGTGCAGTTCTTGCCTTCATTTTTTTTATCGCTTGTAGAGACGAGGGTTCGTCCTTGCCGTTCCTTGCCCCCGTCGACGTTGAAGCCCACTCATTGCGCACACACAACAAATGTAGTCGTATCTATTTGTGTACCAGGGGCTGATGAATCCATGCCTTACCTGTGCATACGTTCGCGAAGTAGGTACTCGTACGTTGAAGACGAGCTTGTTTTCAGTGATGCATGCCCCTGTCTCTGCCGCCACATGAGAAGGAGAATAGGAGTCGGCTTCTTTGGGGTGACGGCCCTAACTCACTCGGTGAATCAACCAATCGTGGGCTGGGTCACACAGCAGCAGAGGTAGTCTATATAGTCCAGGGCCCGAGGGAGGTCGCTTGAGGCCTGGATTCACCGGAACTCGGCGCAGACACGTGGAAATTCCGTCCGCAGATGGTCACAAGAACTACCAAACGCCCCCACCACTCAAAAAGATTTTGGATTCATAAGAAGGGGCCCGGGATGCAAGGATCTCACTACTCTGGATGTAGGTGGATGTGTGTGGACTGTTCCGGCCTGCGTGCCCCCCCGGAAAACACATGCACGCATGTGCACCCACTCCAGCAAGATCTACAGCAGCCAGCACTACACTACAGTACCGCAGTACCTTCTCTCCCTCCGACAAATAAAAGGTCAGTTGGCGAAGCATGCCGATGCTTGAGCCCTCACTAGTCGTGGCGTCCTTCCAGGAGTACTGAGAGCGTTTGATAACCCGCAGGAAGAAGAGTACTTGCATGTGGTGGTCCCGTACATGGGCAGCAGCTCCAGCAGCAGCTGTTTTGAACTTCAACATCACGATATTCATGTTCTTGGCATTTGTTGGGAAATGGTTCAGCCGCAGTCGAGTCTATCATCTCCAAATGTTACATGCTAGACTACTTTACAACTACCAAATTCGTAGGAACATAATTACTCTGCGTTCCATTAGACTAGTATGCCCGTCCACTTGGTGGTCGCTGGATCGCAATAGTAACGAAATGTGTAGGAATACAAGAGGGACTCAGAAGGATCTGCTTTTTAGCAGTCTTGCATGATGAGTGCTTGAATGCTACATAGTGTACGCATCCATCCGTATTCACTCGTTTATCTGAGGATAATTGACATGAAGCAACCTGTTTTCAGGAGCGACGAGACACGTGGTGGGTGCTTCTTTCTGTATGGGGGTGGTGGTCCGCCCGGAGGTCCACTTACCGAAGATGTCGAACTTGCTTTTTCCGCGCGCGCGGTTTTCTGCCTTACTGCTATATAATACAGCAGTCGACCCCGCTTGAAGGATGCTCGGGTTAAGGAAACTCCCCGCTTTACAGAAACTTTATGCTGAGCACCAGGTGGCCCTTCAGAATGTACGATATTGGGTAACCCCGTTTATTCTGCCGCGTACCCCCCTTGTTGTGCATGCACCACGCACCACCAGCACTAAGTACAGAAGTAGCGACGCACAGACAGCGGAAGGAGCGAGCGGTCTGCTGCTGCAGCTATAACTGGGTGTTGGTATGGATAGGTTTCTCCCATCTACCGGTGGTCCATCTGATGCCGCCAAAAAGAAAGTCGTGCATAACCTCGTCCCTCATCGAGGGCGAGGTTATCTCTCGCTTCAAGGACGTTCGATCCTACAGTCGTCCCCGCTTTAAAGACACCATTTTTTAAGACACTCCCCGCTTTAAGTACAAAAAAAATCTCAGAAACATGGTGCCCCGCAGATGTGAAAAAGTAGGGGGGGTAGGGTTTTCCACCATTCGACCCCCCCCCCAGAAATTGTGCTGCAGCACCTGTAGATCCTGGATCATCAACAGCGGTCTGCTGCAGCCGCACACTGCGTGTGGGTGTATGGAAAGATTCATTCCATCTGCTAGCGGTTCGTCAGCTGCCGGCTTGAAGCCATGCGGCGAACCGACGTGCCAGTTCAAATCTGCACTGGTGTCAATGGTTCATCAGTGTCCGTGCGGACGACCCATGCACGCGTTTTGTGGTCGGGGCATCGGAGAGGAAGGCCACGGNCCAGAAATTGTGCTGCAGCACCTGTAGATCCTGGATCATCAACAGCGGTCTGCTGCAGCCGCACACTGCGTGTGGGTGTATGGAAAGATTCATTCCATCTGCTAGCGGTTCGTCAGCTGCCGGCTTGAAGCCATGCGGCGAACCGACGTGCCAGTTCAAATCTGCACTGGTGTCAATGGTTCATCAGTGTCCGTGCGGACGACCCATGCACGCGTTTTGTGGTCGGGGCATCGGAGAGGAAGGCCACGGACAGCAGAGAGAGTGCTCGGATTGCCAGAAGAGGAGAGGTGGAGACCAGGCTGGCAGCAGCTGCAGTCCCATGGAAGTGGAGGACGACGACGTCGAGCAGCACAGCAACAGGTGAATTTTTGCGGCAGTTCCTCCGCGAAACTACGGATGTGTTTGTGTGGTTTTATTATTAGCATCGACCGCGCTAACCGACTGACCAATGAAAAGACGTCAGCCTCAGTGCGCTTGAAAACACAAAACACTTTTATCTGCCATGAACTGGGACCCCGTGAGGGGGCAGCATGGGGGAGGCTAAACTATCCTTCGGATTAAAAACAGAAACAGCAGCAACAGAAGAAAACTGCACGTGTCTACCAAGGCTACTGCCTTGTACTCGAGTTCGTTTTGGAGTACTTTCACCATTATCCTCCTCGTGTTCGCTACCATCATTCTGATCCTCATTTTGACAAGAATCTCTGGGCAGTTCCTCCCTAGTCCGACGTTTTTTCTTTTGGGGAAGGTCATCTGGATCAAACCCTTTGCTCTCTTCCACTCCTCCATGTTTTCCTCCTCCGTCGTCGTCTTCGTCCTCCTTTCTTCCCTTTCTCTTCCCTTCGTCTCCGTCACTCCCAAAAGAATTACCCTCATTACTAACGTTGTCGCAGAGATCCCAACCGATTGGCCCTGGTGGAAGTTGGTCGATCAGTAGCCCATGACGTTTGAACACATCGCGAGTTCGCATCGACAGAAAACGAGCTAGCTCGAAGGTAAACCGTCTCCGAATCCTGTTAGTATGAAAAGCTTTCAGGCGAACTAAGGCTCTTTCGTCGTCAAAATTCCCCCGGCAAAAAGCTTCGTGCGCCAAGTGGTTGGCGATAGCAACGATGAGTCGATTGGTGCCTTTGCCAAGACCACCATTCGTTGAAAAAGCAGCAGTAAGGAGGGTAGATCTAGACGGGTTGAAAGTTCCCGCATAGTGATTTGCCTTACTTGCAGCTCGATCTTCGAGGGCTGATCCTGGCTTAAGGATCGACTTGTCGATGCTTCGACCTGCTGATGGGTTGACGATTGTTACGTCGATCAGAATGGACTTGGTGCAGAGGTCCTCTTCCTTCTCTCCTGCGTGTAATCCTGGGGGGATTACCAAATCCATCTTGTATAGCCCCTTTCCCCTACCAGTGCCTGTGGTAAAAGGGGAAGAATCCTCAACGGCGATGGGCATATGGCACTCACGTAGTGTCTTGAGGATTACGCGAACCATCCTTTTATGGAGGAAGGTTGAGGCGCCGGTCTTGGTACAGACGAGGGAGTGGGCTCGGCTCAAGCGGTCCTTGCATGGTAACAATGCACCTGCACCACAAAGTTTGCCTGTGTTGCAGTCTGCTCGATCGTGACTCCCCAGTACACGACCGATTGACTCTCGATATAGATCAGGCAGCATTCTTTCATCTGCTGACAAGCCCTTGCGTTGCCAACCACGACAAACTCCCTTGCCTTTCGCTTCCTCCAAGCGGATCAATGCTCTCTTCTTTGGCGTTTCCTCGCCTACTACTTTCTGCAAGTCTGTCTCCACCATGTGGCGCACTGCTGCATGAAGAGGTTTCGAAAGGAGAGCTTGGGCTCCAAAGACTTGGTAGTGTTGACCAAATTCATTTCGGCTGAAGGTAGACGGTGGTTGATGTTCTACGTCAGGGTTTCCATCTTCACGGGGTTTTCCCGCCTTCCCTGCTTCCAACAAGTAAACTCCTTTGAGGGCGGGGGTTAACTCATCACTTGTGGCAAGTTTAGCCCATGATTGCCCAACAGTTTTTTCAAGCTTGTCTTTGGTGATGATCTCCTCTAGCTTGAGTGAGTCAATTGGAACCAATCCCGTCGGTAGCTGGGCAAGCCGGGGTAGACATTGCTCAACTGTGTGTCCTGTCGATGCTTGCACTGACTTGGAGAACACCAGCGCTTGCCCTGCCACAAAAGCCGATTCTCGAATGAGAACATTGCTCGTGATTCCTAGTCCTCCTTCTCGCATGGGTAGGTGCACCTGCGCCCGAGCTGTCCCTTTGAAGAAATCTACCTCCTCGCTCTTCGTCGGGTCTGCGCGTACCTCTTTGACCGTTGNGGCGTTACTAGGCGGAGTATCAATTCCGCCGGGTAACCACGGGCGAATTTGGAAATGAAATTCCTCTGGAACTCCTTTGTCCCTACTGGGATCCCGACTACTGGCATGCCACCTTCAGCAACTGACAGACCAAT